CACCAGAGCTCACAGGTTGCTTCAGGAATCCTCTCCCACTCCTCCATGATGACATCATGGAGCAGATGGATGTGAAGACACCTTGTGCTACCCCACCTTCAGCTTGAGGATGGCCCACAGGTGCACAGGTGAGTTTAGGGCTGGATACATACTTGGCCAGTCCATCACCTTCAGCTTCCTCAGCAAGGCAGCTGTCATCTTCTAGATGTGTTTTGGGTCATTATCATGTTGGAAAACTTGACAATGAAAACTTGCAGCCCAGTTTCTGAAGAGGGGCGATATTGTCACCAAGGTGCCACACATGCTGAAAGAGCACCAAGACAACTGTCCCTTGCCTACAGTCAAGTATGGTGGTGGCAACATCATGGTTTGGGGCTGCATGAGTGCTGCCGGCTCTGGGGAGCTCGGTTCATTTAGGGAAACATGAATTCCAAGCAGAGCATGATCGCCCCTCTTCAGAAACTGAGCCACAATGCAGTTTTCCAACATGATAATGACCCAAAACACACCTAGTAGATGACAGCTGCCTTGCTGAGGAAGCTGAAGGTGAAGGTGATGGACTGGCCAAGTATGTATCCAGCCCTAAACTCACCTGTGCACCTGTGGGCCATCCTCATGGAGGAGTGGGAGAGGATTCCTGAAGCAACCTGTGAGCTCTGGTGTATTCCATGCCCAAAAGGGTTAAGGCAGTGCTAGATAATAATGGTTGGCACACAAAATATTGACACTTGGCACAATTTGGACATGTTCACTGTGGGGTGTACTCACTTATGTTGCTAGCTGTTTAGATGTTGATGGCTGTGTTTTGAGTAATTTTCAGAGGAAGGTGAATCTATACTACTATACAAGCTGTACACTGACTACTTTAAGTTAATCAAAGTGTCATTTCTATAGTGTTGTCCCATGAAAAGATATAATGAAATATTTGCAAAAATGGGAGGGGTGTACTCACTTAATGTGAGATACTGTACACAAGCAGTGGAACTTCACTGAGAGCTATGTGTGTCTGTTATGGTGACAAGGCCCATGACAAACCTGTCTCTCATCAGACTTGGAGCAGTTATAATTTACATATCTGAATTCAAATGTGCAAAATGTTTGCATTGCTGGATCTGAGCGATCATGAATTCTGACCATGAAGTCAGAGTTCAAATACTGCAGATCACTTAATTTTAAGTACAAGGATGTATCTTTATGTAGAAACCTCCCTTAATAAATTGTGTGTGTGTGTGTGTGTGTGTGTGTGTGCGTGCGTGTGTACTGAATGTCTTGTTGAGTAACCATTTGTCTGTAGCTGCCCGGTAGATCACAGTACATTAGTAACTTTACAGTCTGGAGGGTATGATTTGCATGTGAATTTGCGAATGTATATATATTGTTTCCAAAAAAGGACTTTAATGAAAACTCTCTAATAGTTTGAATTTTTTATAAATCTTAACTTAACGATCTGCTATGGTTCCACCTTAAGTGGGAGGAGCACAAGATGTGGAGATGTATAATAAAGAGCAGAACTGAGAAAAGCAGGAGCCAAATAACTACAGCCAAAAGGTGAGTGATAACAGGTATTTACTGTAGCTTTGACAATATTAGTGACATTTGCCACTGAGTTTAGGTATTTCATTTCTTTATTCCAGTCCACACAGAACTGAAAACAAATGACCATGGCTGAGTACAAGTTAGAAGTGACAACAGGTGACATGACACACGCAGGAACGTTTGACCACATATTTGTCACCTTAATTGGAACTGGAGGGAAGAGCGAGCGAACTGAGTTGGACAACTATGGTATGGATTTTAAACCTGGGATGGTAAGTTGGATCCAGCTGCTGATGCATGTGTATTGGGGTGGCATTTGTCTACATAAGAACAAACATCCTCTAGATTAACAGGGTTATTTTACTGCACTTATTTTACTCTACTACAATTGTGACTAAATGCTCCATACAGAAATAATAATCAATAATCAATACAATTCCCACTGGAAAAGCAGCAAAATTTTGGAAATAAAAACAGCTGCTTTCCATGCCACAATTGCAGCAAGAAAACACTGAGAATTCACTAAATAACAGTTTGGTGACAAAAAAGTCACTGGGAACACAGCATGGATTCCCTAAGAAACAACCAATTTTGTTGTTTGTTGTAAGGATAGACCGATACATCGGCCGGCCGATATAATGGGCCGATATTTGAGTTTTTTACTTGTATCGGCATCGGCCGATACGTGCGTGGGTTCGCAGATTTATTTTTCCCTGGCACTTTTTTTCATTTGAAAGTATGTGGTTAAGTTGAACAAAGCTGTTGAATCCTACTGTGTACAGTAGTTGTTGTTTTATTTATGCTTCAGCTTAAATATTTGTTTGTTTTATAAAGACATTACTGGAAGATTTAAGAGCACTGAACTCTTTTTTTTATTTGAATGTATAATAATAATAATAATAATAATAATGATATTCTACCTGTTCTACCTCAACTTTCCAT